GCTCTTCCGGACGCTCCGCTCGTCTGGGTATCGCGACCAGATGGCACGTTGACGAAGATGCTCAAATGTCGTCACTGTCCCTATGTCTCATCGCGTCGTGCGGAGGTACGCGACCATGAAACGATGCACGTAGATACACCGGCTCAGGGTCCCTTGATTGCCTGCACGGATTGTAGCTTCACCTGCGCGCGTCGGGAAATTATGATCGCGCATACGGAGATGCACGCGGGATCTCTGGGCACCGTTCACTGCCTAGTCGACGAGACACGGCCCGATTCTCAACAGGCGAGTGACCTAGCCACTCTACTCGGCATGACGCACACCCCAGTATTGGGCACCGAACCTGATTTGCACGACTCTCGTTTGGTACATTGTTGCGGCAAATGCCCGGCGCGATTCCTATGCGAGAAGGAATTGCGCATCCATCTGCGCTATCATACCACAGAGCTAGCGCATTCGTGCCAATGGTGCTCGTATGCGGCACGCCAGTCGACGCATCTGTTGGCTCATCAAAAAGCGCATTCGAGCGAGTATCAAGAGCGCACCAAGTATTTGTTATCTCTATATGGGCATTCACAGCGTTACCCACCGCCCGCGACGGCATGCGTCGAGGCGGGCAATCAGGAGAGCAATAACAGTGGCGTGCCCAATGTTGCGTGGATCGTCGTCGAAATCAATGAGAACGCGAACAGCAGCGCCGTGTCGGCCGTTCAAAGGACTGGAGGGAATCAGGTGTTCACGTGTGCTAAATGCCCAGCGCGCTATTTCAGGCTGGATGCTTTGGAGTATCACATGACTTTACACGGTTCGAACAATCGGTTTAAGTGCAACGATTGCGACTATTCATCAAAAACGGCACAGAATCTGGTCAAGCATCAGGTGGTACACCGACGACATAATGAAGTCGGCGGCGAAACGATTGCAACGACGCCACCGACCACCGGTGCAGCTACCTCCTCCGCTTCAGTTTCAGCCCCCGTTCTGTCCGTACAACCGCCACCGGATCCGCAATTCGGTATCTTCATGCGCGGTAATCCCAACTTTGTTTACCAGGGTTACTTGCGGAACGGCCGTTTAAAGGAAAAGCGCTACAAGTGCCACAAGTGTCCGTCCGCTTTCGAGAAGCGCGAGCAGTACAGGGTCCATCTAACGCTACACGGTGCTAAGCAACGTTATCGCTGCGACACATGTGACTACTCTGTCAAATATTATGCGAATTTTATACAGCATCTGAAAAAGCATCAGGCAAACGCGGAAGCGCAAGCGTCGCGCAGACAGTTCGAGGATGATCATATTTCAGTGGACAGCGACAGCATCACCGATGTAGCTACGGCATCGACTTCATCACGTAAATCCTCACGATCATCCGTCGCCGTTGGGTCTTCCGGTAACAATGTGACAAACACGTTGCAACCCTCCAATCAGGATAAGCAGAGCCTGTTGCTGATGCAAAAGAAGGGTATCATTTCTGCGACGGGTGAGCCCGATGCAGAAACGATCCGTTGCCTCAGCTGTCCGTTCTCCAGTACCGATAAGGATGTGATGGACGCGCACAAGCGTCGTCACGGCATCGAGCGTATGACTCCGCCATGTCCGCATTGCGATTATATTCCGCGAAAAGACGAGAATATCGGTGAACACATCAAACTGCACTTTACGAGATTATATAAACCCGAGTCGTATCTTATTGTCGAGTTGCTGACACTGATGATGGAAAAGGTACCCAAAATAAACAATAAAGAGGAGGAGAAGGGAAGACAGCGGGTGAAAGAGCTCCTGTTCAAGGAATGCGCCGACGGCAGATTTCTGCCGCTTACCGAACCGCACTCTCTGTCTCTAGGTACCTCAACCGTAAACAAAAAGAGGGTCATTGTGGATCCGAACACAGGCGAAACTAAGAATAATCTTGCCACATAAATGGAACATTTTTACTCAACGGTTATGATCGCGGACATTTGTGTCCATGGCATATTTGCACGCATTTTTCTATATAAGAGACGGGTCCGAAATAGATGATATAGAACTTCGCGAACAATTATAAGTTAGTGCGCATTATAAAAATCGACGATTTTGTTTTCGAGATAGTTGATGATAAAAGTCAGAATTTATCAGAGCGATAAATTAATTTTGAAACCAAATTTCTATGAATACATATATATATATATAGATTTGTTATATCATGTAATAAAATATTAATTTTTCGGCCATGTTTTAGAGATGCCACGCATTAATCATTTATATTGTTACAATTTCTTACATTCATTGTTGACATATTGTTCAGTAACTTTAAGCGATAATGAATGTATGCGAGTATACTCTATATGCAAACTTAATAGTGTTTTATGCCATATTTTGTTAATTCTATGACCACCATTACTGTAAATATTTATTTGAAACTGCCGGTCTTGTACAATACATAATCATGTACGATAATAAATGCTCACACTGTATATATATATTCTATATATATACACGCGTGTTTTTATGTTTAGATATATAATACATATCTAAATATATAAAGCTATAAATACAATCCGCATAATTAGAACTATCCGGAAAAAATCGAATTTATCTAAATCTGCAGATTTTTAATTCTAATCTGAAATTATTAATTTACTAGATAAAAGTAAAATAATTGCAATGCAAATGTCAGGCTTGATTGACATGTACATTGAAATAGAAATATTTTATGTCATGTTTTTTGCATCATTTATAGAATAATTTACAGAAATGTGTATATAATCAATACTAGAATTGTCGCGATAATTTTTGTTAGAAAATGATACTTTTATTGTAGGATTTATATATATGTATATATATGTATATATATATATATATATAGTATATCTAGACCGAGTGTTGAGGAGTGGGAGCCGAGGTGCACGTAGAAAAGGACATACTCTGTTTCGTGCCCCTTGCGTTCTCTCTCGCTCGCACGTAGCATGACGAAAGAGAGCGCTATGCTATGTGCGAGCGAGAGAGAACGCAAGGGGCACGAAACAGAGTATGTCCTTTTCTACGTGCATCTTTACCCCCACTCCTTAAATAAAGGCAAACGCTCGGTCTAGATATACTATGTCTATGGATGTAACAAATCTATCGTCTTATCATTTCTGACTATTTGCTTTTGATGTCACAGTTCAACTTGTGTCATCTTCATTTTCACCAGGTGCAAATGTGAAAAGTGCAAAACAGCAGCTAAGAAAAATGAATCTTTTACATATTTACTATATTTGTGATTTAACGAATTTCGGTTTGCGATTCTGAAAATGAAAAGATAAAGAAAGCAACAGTGTTATTGATATTAACATTGATAAAATAACGTTTTTTCGTTTACGTTTACAACATTAAACACTGCATCATATTATCAAAAATTAAAAATAACAGCCTTGTTTTTCCATAGCAGCACGTTTGCTATTCATTTTTTCTCTTTCCAAGCTTCAACATATACACCTATTTTATTTTAAATGCAGAAAGAGGATAATATAGTGCAGCTGTAAAAGATGCATTTCGTTTGATTCTAGGAAAGTTTCGAATCGTTTGATTGGTCAGAACGATAGGGAGAAAGATTTCTTTGCTCTGATTGGACAATTTAATGCTACTCAACCCCACGAGTAGGATTTCCGAACGCATTCTTTAATAGCAGATTGCAGGTGACATGTGTCTATCTGTGTTTTTTTACTTCGTGCTTCTTCATTGATGCAAAAGGAACTTGTTGACATACTGACATAGAGGTTAACGAAACAAAGTGCGAAGTTCTCTAAAATAATTTCAATTTACGTAATGCAAAAAAAATGCGAATAGAGAGAGATTATTTAAACCAATTATTAAAATATTTCGTTATTTACCTAACAAGGATACGATAAAATTCGATTTGAGATGCAAACTACCAACGAAGAAATAGATGAAACCGGCAAGCTGCGATCAAATGACAATAATACGGTTGAAAATGTCCGAGTAGAATTGAGAGAAGCTACTTTGACAAAGAGAAAGCAGAATCGTACGTCCGCGTGGAGTAAGAATCGCAAAAACTTGGGGGAATGTCCAGGGAATGAACTGTTTTCGATCGAGTATGTTATTGAGAGAGTAAAGCTTCTTAAGAAGAAAAGAATAACTCTTGAAGATTATAGATATTTGCCTAATGCTCTTATCCAGGTATAGTTTTCACAAAATTGATCTTTTTTCATTTATTTGATATTTTGCATATATAAATTTACTTATTATATTCTATACAACTATAATATATCACAAGAGACAACGTAAATAGTAAACTATAATAATATTATTTAATTTCTTGTATTTATTAGTCGGAAGAAAATATTTATGCATTTTTAAGAGTAGATCAAAGTTTATCAGGCTTGATACGTGATCTGTCTGGCAACAATTCAACTTTACAATTATATGCAGCCAATTGCTGCTGTAATATTGCTCTTGGAAATACAAAAGCATGTACAGCATTGGGAAAAGCAATTATTCCATATCTACTTATCGAACTAGAAAGCTTAAATTATATATTGCTGGTAAGTTTATGTAACTAACATTAAATAAAAAAGTAAAATGTCAGTTAGTCTATTCAACTCGATTTTGTTACTTGTCAAACTTGTATAGAAGCTTTAAAAAGTGCATAAATTTATCTTCTTTTTTTAGGATGTATGCATTTGGACAATTGGTAATTTAGTTGCAGGAAGCAATGTAGCTTTTTCGATTTTACATGCACAGCATTGTTTGAAATATTTAATTTTATTGTTATCCAATTGTGATGATTCAATACTTCCATCTGTAATATATGCACTTTTACATTATGTACACATGGGTTTTTATGAGATATCGTAAGTATCATTCATTTTTATGCATTGAAATATACAAGTAGTTAAGCTTACAAGGAAATATTTAATATAGCTTTAATATTTACAGAAAAAGTGATATGGCACAGCTTGTTCAAGTTATTATAAAGCGAAATTTCTTATACGAGAATCCAAATTTTATTTGGTTGTTAGCATTGTTATCCTCTTCAACAATATGCACGACATATTTGCACTCTATTTTGCCACAAATTGTTGATCATCTTTATCTATTATTTTTTGGCTCAGATGAAATAGCTCATGTCAACGAGGTTTGCCATTTCTCTCTCTTTCTCTTTCGTCTATATATAATAAAACTATAAAATTAAAAATAGATTCACAAAATTTTGCTTTTTTTTAGATTACAGCATCTATACGTATACTAGGTAACACATTGTATAATTCTTGCGAAGATAAAACAGATATTCTTCTGAGGAACTCGAAATACTCACATGAGAACCTGTGTCTTTTATTGAATAAATTATTATCACATCAATATATGCATATTAGAAGGGAAACCTTATGGTTAATAGGTAACTGTGCTGATTTAAATAAAAAAATGTAAAGAGAATATAAATGAGATATAATCTAATTTGTATTGTAATAAATTGCAGGAAATTTGTACAATCACAGATCACCTAGTGTTGGTAAAAATATAAGAGATCTCATAGCCTTTTTACCAGCACTGAATCAGGCTTTTCCCTCAGTTGCTAATTGTGCATAAGTGAATGTTAAAAGGATGTCTTCTTTTTTCGGAAAGGTACATTATACAATACTTTAAAGAATGATTTCTAAAGTATGCAATGCAAACATAGAAAAATATATTTACACTTTGATTATATAATTATATAATTTTATTATAATAAAGAAGACAGCTCCACAGAGATTATACTTATAAGATATAAACGCGTTAATTTATAAAATATGTAACTGTTCTATATTGTGTTCACACATACCTATAATGGTTACGATATTTACATATAAAATATATGTGAATGTGGCGGATTTTCAAGAAACTGCGTATTTGAACGAATGTTGTCTTACTATATTCTCTTCGCGACGACATGTAGGAAATCTGGATGTTGATTTCTTCGATGTCGGTTGATGAATTTCAAAGCCGATCGCTCAATCGTCGCGTGCTTTTTGTCGATATAATAACATCGCGAAAACGTGCATTTACTATACAGTTTATACGGTACTTAAGTAGAACTTTTTTCCTCGGAGGATTTTACGACGCCAAAGTGCATTTTTTTATATCCAAGTGTCGATAGTTTTATTTACTTTCTATTGGAAAACTCTTCTTACCTACATTTTTGCAAATATTTTGTGTATTTCTTGTAAAGATATATATACAGATATAGTACACAGGACTACGCGCTTATTTCTTTGAGTTGTGGTCGGCATTTCTCTTCTTTCTATTTTTAAATTTCGCATTTCCATTATGCGAATTATGTATGTATATTATTATAAATTGTTATATACATTTAGAGGATAAACAATTCAGTTATATATATATATATA